AACAAAAAGGAGGACAAAAGAGAGATTTGGTATGAAATGTGCATATACCGATTTAAATTAATATATGTAAATAGAGTCATGATTACTATGAAGATTGGCTGACACACTATTAAAGAGCATCAGAAAATTGCAAAGGTATGAAATGGTTAGAAATGATTCACACACACACACCCTCAATACAGCATTGTCTATTGTAGTCACATAGGTTTGGTGCCCTAAAATGACACACAATACATTTCTTCTAGACTGGAGTGTTTGAGAGACTGACTTAGATTCAAATTACTTAAGAAGATATTAAAGGCTTAAAGAATGAGAAGAAGAATCTAATTTCATAATTTTAATTATAGATTTCAAACACCCAGCCTGTTTTGTTCTTCTCTCTGGGTGGACAGATGGCTCATACATTTCCCACCCACCCCTTTCTTCCCTAACCTTGCAGGTTTGGTCAGGAGGGTGAGGTAGTGGGAGATGAGAAAGATGGAAAGCTGAGAAGAATCAGTGAGAGAAAAGGCACTTCAGCCAAAGAGGTGAGAAAGGAAAGGTGGTGGAAGGGGGTGGGGACACTTATCACAGGCTTTCTGCTGGGCAGGGCAGGATAGTGGGCCAAGGGCAGGACTTTCTTTGAAATGGAGGATCGTCCAGCAGAATGCCACGTGTCTGCTGTCCCTCCGGTAATTAAAACCACAACAAATTTTAAAAATCCCAGTAAAGCAATCCATATACATAAAACTAAAAAGCAATAACAGTTAAAAGTCCTACCTACAACATGTTTTATGGAAAGCAATTGATATTTTATTTTGCATTATTTGTTAAGTATTGTTAATAAGAGAAGGGTGTTGCAAACACATACCTATGACTTCGAAAACAAGGCACATGTTCCTTTAAAAGGGAACTTTAGAGGGGGTGCTACCTCCGTGCCACTGCTGTGCAACACTACAGTGTGGCAGCATCTCTGGTGGTGCAAACGGCATTAGGTCCTGCTCCTTGGTAGGCTTCATAGTGATGTGATTCTGGCTTCTAATTATGTGGTATTTGTAATTTATGTATGGTTTGACCCTGAATTATCCACTGCAAAACCTGCTGAATTTGCTCTCTGAGTTCCTTGATAGGATAGTTTCTACCAACTTTGGTTATCCACTGTTGGACAATATTTTCCCCTTATAAATATGGCAATATTTCAAATGGTGCTCACTACTTACGTGTGGTACAGGCGTTACCATAGTCCAGCTCTCTGGTTCTACAGATCGTAATGCAGGGGCACTTTCTGAAAATTGGGGAGAAAGAACACCATTATTTTTGTGCCTCATTGGAAATAGGCATGACGTGAAAGACTATGGCGAAGAAGAAGGCTCAGTTCTATTACTTATATGGAGCTTTTTAGATCTCTAAATAATGACTAAGTTCCTAATAGTGGACAAGTACTAAGTTATGGGCCACAAAGCTATACAGTATATAGATATAACTCATGGCACTGGCAATGGGAGTCTTTGGCCAAGATCCAACTGTGTATCTGTGCTGTTGGTAGATTGAGAAGGAGGGAGTTTCCACTCTTATATGCCTACAATGTAATATTTTCTCTCCTTCTCCTATTGTAGTCTTCTGTGGCACTCAGAACTTTGTTCTGGAGGATTTCCTAACCCTTCATGATAAATCCTGAGGTCACCTGGCATTGTCTCCAAATGCTGAGATATCTAGCTATCATTGCCTTACTAATAATAGCTTAACATTCATAAAGCACTTTGTACAGGTCATCTGTATAGCAACCCTGTAAGGCAGGTCAGTATTATCATCATCAAAATGTTTCAGATGCAGGGAAGCAAGCACCGAGGCTGAAAGAGAATGGCTTGTCTAAAAGTACCTTGTGAGCTCATGGCAATGATGACATTCAAACGGGGACCTTCCTGATTCATAGTTCAAGTTCATAACCACAGTACTAATCTAAGGGCCTAAGCACGCCTGCCAAAAGAACCCAGTTATATCAAATCTTTCCATACCTCTCTTGTACCAATACATTTATTTTCACAGTCACGTGATATTAATACCAGGGGCAGTGTTCACATTTTTTTAACTGTTTCAATTCATTTCTTTCTATTTAAACCATTATAGCAGGCTATATTGCTCTTAATTTTGCATCAGTTCATCTTTTCTATTGTTTCTAGGGGCAATCATGGCCCCCCTCGTTCTTTTTTTAAAAAAAATAAAAAAAATGATACATCAAGAGTGCCGTAGAGATGTCTGAGTCTTCTCTCTTCCTCCCCCTCCTTTCCCCTTCCCTCCTTTACCCAACCTGTTTGCACAATGTCCGGAGGAGAAAGACTTGCAAAGTACTGTATTGTGAAGAGGAGAGCTGAAAAAGAGAAAGAGGAGATGCAATGCTCCTCTCTTTACAATTAAAAGCAGGAAATGTTTCTGCTCAAGCTCTCCTTCAGCCACAAGGGAGTGCGAAGTGGGGAGAGGCTGTATGTATCCTTTGAGCTGTCTCCTTCTGAGCAACGTATTCACGTTGTTCTTGCTAGCAGCAGTGGCTGTTACTGCCGACGTGTCATGGACTTTTTCTGAATTAGAAGCAGTTGTGTTGGTGGGTTCTGGGGAAACCTGCCAGTCTTTCTGCACTTGCTCAGTATGTGTACTTTTACTTCCCACAAGGAAAAGATATGCAGACAGATTCTGTACACATTTGGGAACCTGGATGGAGAAAAAAAAACACCCTCCTTATTGTCATATTGGAGGAAAGGAATCTCATGAGGGTTGACTTTTGTTAAAACCGAGCTATCTGGTATAGCAACAGAAGTTAAATCAAGGAGAACGCAGGACTTGGCATGTGTTCTTCACGTCCAGAATGTTAATAGCTCTTAAATGGTTCTCATTCCAAAGAGTATGTCTCACATAGTAGGGCTATAATCCTGTGCCCAGCTACCTGTGAGTAAGCCTTAATACACTTAGCAAGACTTCTGAGATTAAGATTTTGCTGCTTTTTATATCTGGCATTTCAGAATGTGTGGAAGATGGGTTGTATACACTAAATGTTGCAAAAATATGTGCAGGCACAAGCCTCTGCAAGTGTATGGAGGAAAATGAGTACAAAATGCAGTCCTCAAAAAGAGGAACATCTGGGAGTCAATGGGTTATAGATTGTACTAGATTATACTAGATTATACCCTTATTATGTGGTTTGTTTGTTTGTTTTGCAGAGGAGTTCCCCAAAGTGGTGAAAGATTTCTGTTGCTGCACATATTTTCTTCACCTTATCCTGCATTTTGCAAATTTTGTTTTGAGATTGGCCATCAGAAGATTAATAACACAGCTGAACATTGCCCCAAATCCTCTTGCATAGCTGCACAAATGTCATAACTTTTGCAAGCAAATTGTTGCAAGTTAAGAAACGACTGTAGACACTATCAGTTGCATGCAGAGTCACACAACTCAGTGTACAAAAGGTAAGGTTTACAGTGATTTCCTAATTGCAGGCAATTGACCTTCAAAATTACACTATTTGTGGTACACCATGGTACACGTTGTAACTAAAAGCTGGCTGGATAACTTAGTGGTTTAGGTACCTAGCTGTGGAGCCAGAGATTGGGAGTTTGATTCTTCACTGCGTTTCCTGCAAGTAGAGCCAGACTGTGTGGCTTTGGGCAAGCTTCACAGTCTCAGCATGCCACCAGAGGACAAGAATGAGAAACCACTTCTGAGTATTCTCTGTGCTGGAGAACACTGAAAAGGACTGCCATAAGTCAAAAATGACTTGGATTATTATTATTATTTTTATTTT